TACTCATCTGCTACTAAGAGTTACTTCCATCAATAGCACTGCTGGGCAGAGGTTTTGTCCACTGTTTCAAACACCAGTGAACCTTCGACCATGCCAGTGAAAATGCCAGTGCCCACAGTCTGCCCTGGCAGAACCCACCTCTGTGACATAGGAGCTGGGTGGGGGAATGGGAGCAGCACTAGGCAAGAGGGCCATAGAGACCCATCGCTAGTACCCAAAGTTGAGAAGTTATTCCATCATAAATACTTCCCAGTTGCTGCATGCCTTTGGCTGATTTCCAGAGCACTCAAAGGGCTGTTTGTCTATATCGTCCACCTTTGTAGTTGCTTTTGGGGGAGATTTCCCAGCTTCCTCATTCAGTCACAGTTGAGGTTCTAAGTCCCACCTCATTCCATTTTTAATGGGGGAAGTCTAGAATCTTCAAACCAGAATCGTAACTTTTATACCTGTATCAGTCTCTTCATTGCAAAGGGTGGAAGCCCCTGTAGCAGTAAGGAAACTGAGAATCTTAGATGTCTGGTTAGGGAAAAGGCACAGACTGGTCCAGTGTTAGCACAGACCAGTTGCATGAAAAAGAGGAAGGGCGTGATCTGAACCCAGGTTCACTCTCTGCTCTGCCTTGGGTGGGATAGTGGACAAGTACATGGAGGGATGGGGCTTTACACACAAAGGAAAAAAACAAAAGGAAAAGATCGTTTTAAAAAAATTGTGGCAAAAAATTAACATCAAATTAACCATGTTAACTATGCTTAAGTGTGTAGTTCAGTATATTAAGGATATACATTGTTGTAAATAGATCTCTAGAACCTTTTCATCCTTCAGAACCAAAACTCTGTACCCAGAAAACAACTCTCCATTCTCCCCTCGAGAGAATTTTTATTAAATAAAAATTCATAATTTCTATATTTCAAAACTTCACAAATAAAAGGACAAACCACAAATTGGGAGCTAGAACCTAGTTGCAGCAAATTATACATGAAATGCTTTTATGTGTGCAAGAGGAAAACACTCAAATAGCAAAATGGAGCCCCCAAAATCGAGAAGGCAATTTATAAAAGTGAAAGGGCCCATGACCTTATAAATTTAATTTTCATCACCAATCAAAGAAATGTGCATTCAAGCACAACTTTGCTTCTCAGGTCGGCAGAAGCGTTTTCAGCGACCGTGCTCAGTGCCGTGTTTCTCTCGGTGAGAGCGAGAGGCTCCTACCTGCTGATAGACACACAGCAAAGCACACCGGCTAGAGTCCTGTTTGGCAATATATTTTACAACCTTAAAATATTCATACCCTTTCACCCACTAATGCCACTTTTAACATCCTGCCCTTAGACAAGAGCGACATGCCCCAAGATTTATTTACAAGACTGTGTTTCACATCATTATTTATAAAAACAAAATATATAAGCAATCCCAATACCTAACAGTAAAACGCTGGCCACAGAGTATGCCAATCAAGTGACAGGACAGTATGGAGACTTTTCTCGAAGAATTCTTCATGAGAGGCTCATGAAAAGTGAAAACAAAAAAGAAAAGGAAACTATATGTATGAGCATGCACAAAGGAGAAATAGAAGGAAATATACCAAAATGATGGCTACCTGTGGGTGGTGTGAGATTTGAAATTCCCCAAATCAATAGATTAAACAATTTCAATAATGAGTATGTAATTTTCAGCAGTAAGTGTGCATCGCTTCTATAATCAGAAGAAAAGCTTTAAAAAGGAAGTGTTTATAAAATAATATATAGAATGTATGTGAATCTTTTCAAAACTTTAAATTTCCAGACATTGCTCAACTAGTTCATTTGACTTAGTATTTGTGAAAGTGGGTTGAACATACACACGTGTGAAAAATAGAAATTTTGCTTTTGTTCTGAAAGTTGTAATACTGTGATTACAGCTGTTTTGCTGTTGCTGTTTTTTTTTGTTTTTTGTTTTTAATGAAACTAAATAAACTGTCAGAATTTTATCATGGAAGTTCGGATCCCCCCACCAACACACACCCCAGGTACTCAGTCTGTCCTATGGAGTTAAATTGAATTTTAACCTCGTTTTGACAGTTATAGTTTTAGGTAGCTGAAATATGGCACTTCAGGAACATGATGAATTAAATACTCCTGTATGATGTGGTGTGACCCTAAATATCCATTTATAGTTTTGATTTTCTAGGGGAAAATGAAATCAAAATTCCAAAAAACATTCATGTGTTTGGAAAAGTTCCTCCGATAAAATTTTAATTGTTATTTTGCAAATATTTAAAAACTTCATGTTCTCATGAAAAATTTTATAGAAATATGTTACCTGGGGTGAAAAACACTTGAAAGAATAGTCTTATTTACATTATTATTATTATTTTTTTGCTATTGTGTATGAGGCCAAAATATGCCGGTTGAGTTGACCTACCTGAGTGACTGGCAGCCCTTTAAAATATGGGAACCCCATGAAGGTTGCAAATGCCTAATTCAGGTCACCTCCACCGAGCAAGGTACCATTCATAATGCAAAAAACACCAGAACCCCAGGACCCTGGATGGGGATGAGTTGTTGAGAGAGGAAGAGTGAGATGATGCTGGGGGACCCTCCCAAAACGTTGACTGCTCCCTGAAGTAGAGACCTGCACCGTTCCAGCTTGGCCCAAGGACCCTGGCAGCAAATCTGATCTGACCTGACATGTGATTGGTACCAAGCCTCAGCCAAGAATCTGCTCTGCTGGGAAGGGCGTTTATCACTGGTACTGTGAAACACGAACGTTCGAGGACTTTCTGTGCCAGCAGGAATAAAATGAGCAGATAAACTCCTCACGTACCGAACCAAGCCCGTTTTGGGAGTGCAGAGCAGCTTAAGGACCTAATGAGCCTGTTTTAATACATTCAGATTAGTTGGAAACTGATTTAGATGCCAGTCCTCAGCAAACCTGGTGAACGCAGCAGCACCCATTCATTCGAGAAGCCAAGAAAATGACAAAGCCCACAGGCCTTTCTAGAGAAGTGATTTAAAAACATCTGATATAGCCCTGGCCGGTTTGGCTCAGCGGTTAGAGCATCAGCCTGCGGTCCCGAGAGACCCAGGTTTGGTTCCCGCTACGGGCATGGACCTCGGTTGCAGTTTGTCCCCGGCCCTGGTCGGTCATGTGGGTGGCAGCCACTCGATGTGTCCCTTTCACATCGATGTTTCTCTCTCTCTCTCTCTCTCTTCCTCTCTCTCCCTCCCACTCTACTTGAACAAAAAATGTCCTCGGGTGAGGATAAAAAAACCCCAAAACATCTGATATAAACACATTTCCAACTTTGCATAAATGAAGTTTTCTTCCTTCTCCTATAGCCTTAGAAAAAGAGATTGCTTAAACATGTTTTCTTCTATTCCATACTAGTGACTGGGAATGATGCTAAACATTTTTAGATCTTTACTTTGAATCACAAACTTGTGCATTTTTTAGTGCTACTAGAGGGGCACAAATACATGCCTCCTTTCTCTCTTCAACTTCCCCCTTCTCTCTGCTTCTGTCCTCTCCTTCGAATAATCACAGAACATTCAGAACAGCATCCTGGCCCAATTGAGTTGAATCCCAAGGTCTCTGTTTCCGATTCTCTTCCATTCCTGCTTCCCTAAACCCAAGATTAAAGCAGAAATTCTAGGACTGCAGGTGAATGAGATAAGTAATGAAACAAATACAGGCAAATCAGCTTTCTGTATATATAGAAAGTCCCCTCTCCTTAACATTATTTCCCAAGGAGATGATGTTTGCTAGGAGTTGAGGGAGTTTGTTCCAAACAGTGTGTGTATAACCGATGGACATAGACAACAATGCTTGGGGGGGCGGTGGATAGGGAAGAGAGTGTCTGCTGGGGAAAAGGAGAAACATCTGTAACAAAAAATGAATTAATTAAAAAAAACACACAGAAAAATATTAAGTTTGATGAGCATCAACTTTCCCATTTAGGGACTCCCAGGGACTCTTCATTCGAGAGCACGTCACAGTTGTTCTGTGGTGGGGTGTTGGTCCCCTTTTGTTTTACCTCAGCCTGCTGCTATGCCTAACATCTGTTTACTTTTGATCGTCCCCTTTCCTCCTCTCTTCACTCTCAACATCAAGTTATCTCCTCTCATCTGAAAGATCCTCTGAAGAAGCTCCTGCTTTAAATAAATCCACCTGCGCCCAGCAGTCGCCAAGGTGGGGTCACTTCTGCGCTCTGCTGCATTTCACAGATGTGTTCCCAAAGAGACGGTCATTATTTTAGAGTCTCTCAGCTTTCAATATCTTTTTTCTCATGTGGAGATAAAATTGAAAAACAGATCATTAACAACCCCATACACTTCTTGATATTAAGCGTTTGATGATTTTTTTGTTTTGCTTTGTGAAAAATTTTCTTCCATCAAGGTGCAACGAGGCACACACTGTGCTGTGTAAAAATAATGTGCTTTTGGGGAGTTGCATGCCTGGGACAGTGCATTTACAGTTAAGTCCCTTTCAAAGTCACCCACTCGGAGCTGCTAATTTTAGCCGTCTCCCCGAGTTTCACAAGAGGTTTCTTTAGAAGCTGTTAGTTTCCAGGTGTGGTACATTAAAATACTTTTGTAGAGAGGCAAAGTGGTTACAGAATAATACTTCTGGATTTTCTGTTCTTTCTTGGATGTGGACCAAATTCAGTAAAAGAAATGCCCACGTCACAAAATCTACTTTGCCGGTGGGAACAATTCCTGACCATTTGAAGGAACGGGGCTCATGGTATTTCTTCTGCTCTTGTTCTACTCTCTTTTCACGACTGTAGTTAAAGTAGGAAGACAGAGAATGCGTGTGGGAGTTGGGGGTGGGGAGAGGAGGACTGCTGGGGCGGGGGGAGTGGGTGGATCCTGACTTGCTGTGGCTTCTGCTTTCTTTTCAGAGAACTTCAGAGAACGGCTGTAATACCAGTTCTAAATGAACAACATATGACTCTTCCTTGCACCTCCTGCCCCGCCCCCCACGGGTTTCCTATGTGTACTTGAGATGCCTGATACCCTTGATAGAACTGCTGGGGTTACTCTGTCTTTAATCACTTTATCAGGCAGCAAGATTTCGCTTTTCTAAGAGGCAAGTAACTAAACCCGAGGTCCTGCATGGACTTTGCAGAATGCTGCTAGGTCTGCCGAGACATCAGTGACAGTGCATCTGGGTTTCATCAGCTCGCTAGGGCTGCGTTTCACCAGGTCCCCGTGCCAGGGCCTCCCCAGCGTCAACAACAAGTGTCGCACCTACTGCAGGAACAGCCCTCAAGTTTCATCACAGTGATGCTCAAAAATATTCTCCAGCTTCAGCAATGACCTAGTTCATTCGAGGGCAGGGAAAAATGCTCTCCTTCCAGAACTTCCCTGGGCACAGAATATTCCCTCTTAGGAAGGCAGGAGCTGTTCTGGAAACAGACCCAACTGTGTTTTGACGGTTCGTGGAAAAGACCCTGAGCCCTCTAGTTGCTCGGAATCCCCGGGCCCAGGAACAGGGCCACCCAATCAATGCCTCCCACGCAGCCCGGGAAGCCCACAGCCCAGCCAGCTCTCCTATCACGTCTCGGGGATCAAAAGTATTGAAAAGTGAGTATCCAGACTTCGGTTTTTACATAAGGAATAGCTGTGCTTTCAGCATGTAACTGTTTACATTTTCTACAGTAGGGAGCAAAGCAGAGTGTGTCCTTGTGAGACAGAACAAGGTGAAACCAGTAAGATCTGCGGTGCATATTTGGGGATATAGGGTTTTTAAGGAGCCAAATGCCCGTTTGCAGATTAGGGTCCTTTTGGGAAATTATTATTTTGTAAAAAATGACTGTTTATTTTGGCTTGATAATGCTTTTGAAAGATCCTTTCACATCATGGCTATCTCAACAATCAGAAAAACAAACATATAGGATGACTCGAAGGAGTGATTTGTGAAGGCTTTGCAAAGTAACATGAAAAATTGAGGTAACTATGCAGGTGCTTCAGGCCGCGATACCCCTGCCTGAAATATTTATTTTAGTCAAAAGTTATTCCTTTTACTTGGGTTATCATGCGGATGGAAAATGCCCACGTTCTGAGTGAACACAGCAGGAATCGCGTTACTGAAAAGCTATCAGGCATTTCCAAATGGCTGCTGTCAACACCCATTAAGGCATCAAAACAGACTTTCTTACCTTTTATTTTTATTGTGGTAAGAACACTTAACATGAGGTCTATGTTTTTAAGTGGACAGTGCAGTGTTGTTAACTAGAGGCACAATGTCGTACTCGAGTTGTTACATAGATTTTTTAAAAATTTAAGACAAAAAGTCAACCCCCAAAATCCATCGATGAAGCGGCGCCATGGTCACGTTACATTTTGATGAACACATCCAGACTTTAAAACCACTGAGTAAGGGTGTCAGTTACAGGCATCTGGCAGTCATTTAAAAATAGATAAAAGCAAGAACAGCAATTAGAGCTGCTTCTGCTCTAATTATTTTCTCCCACAACCTTTATTTGAGTAAAGGTAGGCTTCATTTCTTAAGATTAATGAACCGGGAATGGTAAGAGATGCTTTATAACAGCATCCCAGCTGAGGGTAAATTGAATGAGATTCTTTGCTGTGGGACTTCGGACCTGAAACCCAGGATGTTGTGGACTATCTTCTGAATGAACAAATTGACAGATCCTGTATTAAAAATCACTAGTGGTCAAAGACGCATTCAGATCTTGGAAATCTGGATTTAAAACAAACTAAATGTATTTTAAAGGGTTTTAAAACCCTTTGTTTTAAAAGATATGTTTAGAGAGAGGAAGGGAGAGAGGGAGAAATACCAATGTGAGAGAGAAACATCAAATGATTGCCTCTCATGCACACCCCAACGAGGCATCCAACCCACAACCTGGGTACATGCCCTGATCGGGAATCAAACCCACAAACTTTTGATGTATGGGACGATGCTCCAACCAACTGAGCCACTTGGCTAGGGCCAAACTAAATGTTTTTTAGCTCCCAAATTACACTGCCCTTTTGAAATGTTTGCAAAACATCCACAGTTTGGGGAAGATTTTTAAGCACGGTGGAATTCCTATTTTTATCATCTGCAAAGATCACCCCCTCCCCAAATTTAATGCATTTTTGACATGCATACTTACTTGTAGATATCAGCCTACGCAAGGAGGATGCCACCGAGTATCCTAATCTGGGAGGAGATGGGGAGAAGCTGGTGGTGCTGAGGAATAAAGCCCAGCCTCTGGTCAGAGCTGGAATCAAATCCTGACCCAAGCACAGTTTCTCAGCCTGTCTGAACTCCAGTGTTCTCCTCTGTAAAAGGAAGATAACAACATCCACTTTCACAGGGTTGATGGGGGATTAGATGAGTAAACACCCTACAGTATCAGTCACATTGTAGTTTTTCCAAAGGCTAGTTCTTCCCCTTGGCTAATTAAAAACTAACACTCTCTCTCTCTCTCTCTCACACACACACACACTCTCTCTCTCTCTCTCTCTTTCTTTTACTCTTTCTTTCTCTCTCCCCCTGAAATTTCAGAATGCTTTTATAATATAAAACTATAAAGTAATAGAAATTATGCATTTTTGACATTAGTGCAATGATTAAACACAAATAACAGAAAATTAGATTGTTTTGAAGAATGTTCTGTATTTGCTCCCAGTGTTTGAGAGCAAAATTTATAAAAAGATTATATTTTGAAATTCATCTACAACAAATAAGGAAAACCATTTTTGTCTGAAAATGGTTGATTATCTAAAAAGAGAGGTAGAGAGCCCTGGCTGGTTTGGCTCAGTGGTTAGAGTGTCGGCCTGTGGTCTCGAGAGACCCGGGTTCGGTTCCCGCTAAGGGCACGTACCTTGGTTGCAATTTGTCCCCGGCCCTGGTTGTTCGTGCGGGTGGCAGCCACTCGATGTGTCCCTTTCACATCGATGTTTCTCTCTCTCTTCCTCTCTCTCCCTCCCACTCTATCTGAACAAAAAATGGAAAAATGTCCTCAGGAGAGGATTAAAAAAATAAAAAATAAAAAGAGAGGTAGAGATTTATCAACATCACCTGAAATGCTGTTTAGCCCATTATCAGTACCATATTTAAATATGAGTGTTCATGAATCCACAGGAATGGGAGGTAAAGGCAAATCTCTGCATACAAGATGATGCGTGTGATTACTATGGTAACGAAGGCCCAAGCCCAGCCTTTCCTCCAAGGTTATAGTGGAGGCCTGCATGGATTCTGTTTCTGCTTAGACACAGGCACTGCAGAGTGGGTGGGGTGAGATGCTCCGCAATGGACCAGCCGTTGGGTGGCTAAGCAGAGACAGCTGCTGAGTGGGCCATCTCAGGAGCGGTGGCTGGAATCTGGAGGTCAGTGATGAAAGCTGAAAATAAACAGGGTGCTCCCTTGTTCTAGGGTGAGGCCGAGTCAGCACAGAGGGATGGAGCAGACAAGAATCCCAAGCAAGGCTCATGGGATAGCTCTGGAGAATTTTATCAGCCTCTTTGTTATTAACCTTGTCATCGTTACCAAGATGCCCTATAGCTTTCACCCACATCACAGTATCTTGATAAATTCTTTGCTTGAGTTACTGATAGGTTCATAAGGAGCCTGTTACTCTGGGTTTACTTCTGCCAAATAAGGAAATCTGGAAATTCAGAAATGTAAAAACACTCAGGAGAAAGTGATCATGTCAGCTTAGGGTTGGCAACAACGAAAGAGTAAATGCCCGACCTACACGACAGAAAAGAACACTTAAAAATGTTTAGAGCCCTCATCGGGGTTTCTGCCAATGCATACCCACCTGGGATGGCCCTGAATGGTCTGGAGACTTTGGATACCAGGTCAAAGAGATGGACGCAGGTTGAAGAGACAACAGTTCTGAATCACTCCCTTCTGCATACGTAACACCCTACTCCTCCCAGGGCCATCTCCTCCGTGGCTGCTGCCAACATGTCCAGAGTCACACGACTCACCTTGATCTTCACTTGGTCTTTAGTCCTGCTCTTAGATGACCAGGCTTATTTGCTCCCCAGTCAGTAGTTTAACACCTTCCTCTGGTCCACTGGTTCTCAAACTTCAACGTGCAAAAGAATCTAGAGAGTTGTTGAAACACAGGCAACTGGGTCTCCCCCGCAGAGTTTCTGATTCTGAAGGTCCCAAGAATTTGCATTTCTGGCAAGTCCCCAGGTAATGCTGAGAACCACTGCTTTAACCCTTTCTTTGGCCTGTAATTTCTTTAGAACATTTTTTATGCTTGTTCTCTTCAATCATTAAACGTGCCTACTCCTCAGAGAGGCAGAGGCCCAGCCACACTATGCTTGAGCTGTGGAGGAGACAGACCCATCCTTTGCCTGGGGAATGTTGAGGGGAGGGCACACTGAGGGGAGCGGTCAGTCCTCAGGGAGGGGGCCTTTTTTCCCAGCTGAAGCTATCAGGGTAGGCTTCAGGGGCAAGCTGGGCTTTGGAAACTTGTGGGATGTGAACATACAGAGCTGGAAGGTGGTCTTTCTGTAAAAAGGAAGAAACAACAATAAAAAAAAACCAAACAACAAAACGAAGCATGTAGGGCAGAAAGAGAGAGGATGTGAATGGAAATCAGAAATGTGTTTGGCTGGGCTAGACTTTCTACAGGTGTCCCCAGAACTTCCCTGGAGAAGCGTTCTTTGATGAAGCCATCTAATCTTAAATCCTTTACTGCCACCTGTAACTGGTGAAGGCATGTCTGAGGCAGAGATCTGGAATGGGGGACCAGTGGTAGGAGTTTCAGGTATGGATGCTTTCTAGAAGTAACGGTCACCAATCAGCTCAAACTAGCTTAAAGGGCAGTGGGGATTTATTGCTCACACAACTGAAAAGTCTGAGTTTGGTCAGGACCCTGGCTCTGGTTCTCTGCATTTCTGGAGACTCTGCTCTCCTCTGTGCTTTGGTTTCAACCTCAGGCTGGCTCTCTCAGTCTCAAATGGTTCTCACCTTCCCTGAGGTCCCCATGCGTCCTTTTCCGTGCTTAGAAGACAGAGTGAAAGACCTAAGCTTTGCACTGATTGGTTCACCCCTGAACTTCTTCCTGGAGAGAGCCATGTGCTGATTGGTTTAGACTTATTAATAAACCAATCACCCGGCAAGAGTACTTGATCAGTTTCGACCATTCAGCACCCACAAAGCAGGAAGGGCAAGGACCAGCCCACCCAGCACCAGACTTGAGCGGTGGGCCAGGTGCCGAATGGAGTTAGCAGGACAAGCGAAATGGCCCCTGTAGGAGATGTGGGATATTTCGGAGAAAGGCCTCTACAAGTCACGGCATCTCTTCCCGTAGTCATCAGGTGGGCCATGGCAGCTTCATACTGTAAAGCTGTAGGATGGACCTGCTTTAAACTCCAGGCCGAACACAGTAAGATAGTCCAGCCTTCGAAAGGCAGGAAGCCTCGATGCAGCTCTCCCCTCCTCCACAGGAGCTTGTCAGTGGGCGGGGCCCTGGTCGCCAGGGCGCACTTTCCTAAAGAGCAGTAGGTAAAGAACAATTAGAAAACGGGGCAAGTGGAGGCAAAAATACAGTTTTCTCCTAAGACCGTCTGACTGGCTGGGTTGAAGGACAGCGGTAGGTGAGAAGACT